TTACCTAGAATGTGTGCCGAGGCAGGTGTAACCTTTGAAAACTAACTTGGTTAAGCCTCAACTCGTAGCAAGGGGTACTCACCAGAGACAAGTGCAAGGTCAGTGCTCTCCATTCAGGCCACAAAAACCGAAATAAAAATACAAAGAAATCCACTGCCACCAACTCGATTCTAGCTCAGAGTAACCCTATCGGACAGAGCAGAAGTGATCCTTGGGTTTTTCTGAGACTGTAAGTCTTTATGGGAACAGGCAGTCTTTATTCTGTAGAGCAGTTGGTAGGTTTGAACCACCAACCTTGCAATTAACAGCCCAACAACCCCTAGCCCACAGCCCCACCAGGACTCCTTATTCATTTAGGCATTTGTCATTCTTGAGCAATAGTGTATTCTAGCTTCTACATCAGAGAGAAAAGCAAGAGAAACAAAAGGCTCAATAGGTCAGCTTAATTTGAAACAGTCTACTCACCATTTGACCTTATAAAGATTTTTTTAAAATACAATAACAGATTGTCTCACTTTCTTCTTATTTTATATTGTTTTATGGTATACATTTTTATGAACTGCCTGAAGTCCCATTTGAAAACAGGGTAACATAAAAATAAAATTTGAGTGGAAGAGTCAAATAATTTCATTAGATAGATAAAATATTTATGCCTAGAAATCACATGGTACATTGATTTTAAAATAAATTTAATTTAAAAATAATTTTGGAGAGCTCAAGGAAACTTACCACATAGAGTACTTAAAAGATGCTTTATTGTCTTTTCAGTGATGGTTTGCACAACAGTTTAGGTTCTTATTCAACAATTTCCATACAAATTGATCAATCACACTGGTTACCTCTTCAACAAGTCAATTCTGATCCTTTATACGTTTCCAAAGCTGAAAATTCTTTTGGGGAGCATACGGCCTCAGTACTCTCCCTTGGAGAGGCTTGTTGGTTTGAACTGTTGACTTTTGGTTAGCAGCCTAATATCTCGCTTCTTCTCCTTGTCATTGAGTCTGTTCTGATTCATAGCAAACCCTATAGGATAGAGTGGGTTTCTGAGACGTCAAAACCTTCGGAGAGCAGAAAGTCTCCTCTCTCTCCCATGAAGCATCTGGTACATTTTAACTACCGACCCCTGGTTAGCAGCCCAACACATAACCCACTCTACCTCCAAAGCGCCTTTCCAGTGTCTGCGGGGCTCTTTGAATGAGATACATCTCTGATCACTTTAATCCATCCTCTTGGATATAATAGTGTTGAGCAAAGAGTTGCCAAATCCTGTGACCTCATTTATTTTTTTCTCCTGGCAAGCAGACAAAATAAGGACTCCGATCCAAAATGACTGTCTACCTCAGAATCTTCATCTCCTAATTTCAAACACACTTTTATGGACAAATACATGAAGATAACATTTCTCTTTAAGTCAAGCTGAAAGAAGCTTTTTAAAAGTTTGTTTTTTAATTTTTTCCAAACAATTAGGTTAAAATCCATCACCTTGTCATTGAACTCCATGAAGACTGGGCATGTAGAGAGGTTGAGGTAGAATTTAAGAACAGCTTGGAGAATTGGGGGGAAAGGAAAGTTATTACTTTATTCTGTTGATGCTGCTTGGAAAGTCATAACCCTAACCTCTACCTCTGGAAATTGTTGCAATGTTACTGTGGAGACATTCTTTATATTATAGCAATAATACTTTGCCCTTTTGACCTCCATTTGGTATCTGGAGCATGGAATGTGTTTGAGCAGGAACATATTTGGAACTCTTTGTGAACTATCTGTCGCACCAACCCCACAGAACACCCACTCTTTCCACTGGCACCGGGCTCCCTCGCCTGAACCATGACGAGGCCACAGTTTTCTTCCTAACTCTTTAATCTTGCCTTTGAGGTCTCGCTTTCTGATTCCCGCTTATCACTTCCTGTTGTACCTGTATACTAGCAAGTCCCACATCTATTGGCAGCCTCACTCCAGTCCATTCTAACGGGTCAGTGGACATCCCCTTGGGAACCCCTCTCTCATATGAGTGTTGTGATAGGCACTCCAACAATTCCTACCGATCTCATGTCATCTTCCCTGCCAGATACATCATTCCCATCAACAATATTATTTTTCCTGTGTTCAGAGTGGAAATCTTATGCTATCCTCATTGTTTCATGCACTTCTTTCTCTAATCCCGAGAAACTCTGGTGGCATAGAGGTTATGTGTTGGGAATGTGACCCCCCGAAGGTCAGCAGTTCAAAATTGCCAGCCACTGTGGAGTTGAAAGTCTTTCAACGCCCGTGAAGAGTCATGGGCTTAGGAACTCCCAGGAGCCACTCTGTGCTGCCCTGTAGGATCTCAGTGAGTCAGCATAGACTTGATGGCCGTGAGTTTGGTTGGTTTCTCAAATCCCAATCTGTTATCCATGTTGAGTCTTCCTCGAGCCTGCCTTTAATTTACAGGCTTCCCATCTGTTCTTCTTGCCCTTATGTAATCAGGAAACTACGTCCATGGCAAGGCTGACCCCTAGCCTAGCTATTAACACATGAGCTGTGTGGTGGAGTCTCGGAATTCTGCTATAGAGCTTCATGGAATGAAGTGTAGGGTAACACGCATCCCCCCATAGAACCTCTGCTTCTGGTAGATTTATGCACAGGCAGACCTTGAGTAATGGCCAGATCTGTTCTTAAGTGTGTCATTACATCTTTTAGGTAAGCTGGAATAGGTGCACGGGGTTCGAATTTAGCTTTACTTGAGTGCAAGAAAAGTCTCAGAAGCCTTTTCAGTGATGTAAGACAGGCACCTGCAAGATATCAGGGGGATTGTGATGGAGAATTTGTTTTAAGGGCTGGTTCCATCATTTCCAAGTGAGGGCAAAATTGCATAGCATTAAATTATCCGTAAACCTGATTTTCCTACGGGGGTGGGGGGTGGTGTTACTGCATTGAGTTTCTGCTTTATGGATGAGGTCCACAACTTAAATGATTATTTCAAAATGCAAAAGTGTGGCTTTTGACATATTCTGTACTTCCAGTTATTATTCGTGTCATTTAACAGGCCACTATTTATATACATTGACACGTATATAAACATTTTCCAGGATCCATTGGGCTGCGATCCACATCGTTGGCAGCTTGAAAGACTAGGCTTTCTACTCCCGTTAACAGTTACAGTCTCAGAAACTCACAGAGGATCGCTATGGGTCAACATCGACTCACTGGCAGTGCGTTTGGAATTTGGATATGTAATGTTCTTTGACATGTTGACAGTTGATCTCCCTCAATTGGAAGTCACTGAAAATACACAATGACTGCAATAATAGGATGGAGCATTGCAATGATCACTAAATATGCCACAGGACCTGGTACTGTGAAGCTCCCTGGTGGGTGTGTTTGTGGGTGTGTGCCCGCACACCCACGTGCACGTACACAGGCTTTATGTACTGATCACTCTGGAGCACCTTGACCCACTACTCTCTGATTCTGTAATATTCATGATGTGTATTACCCACTGGAATCATAGTTCATGTTGCAATGCAGCTGTTGTATTTGTTTACCTGTTTTTCTCAACCTAACTGCAAGTTCATAAAGGAATTGGTCCCCCTATGTCTTGCATCACACCAAGCACAGAGCTGATGCTCAAATTATGAATACATAATTTGAATACACGAATGGGATTTTACCATCATTTGAAAACTTTCATAGCATTTAATGATGTCTCCTTGCTTTGGCCTTGAGCGTGTCTACCAATTTCCCTTTATATTGATCCTTAGTTTGCTCATCACATTAAATTTCCATAATGGTTGTTATTTTTAGGACAGAATTATTTTCTACGCTTTGAAATCCTTTCTTTGTTCTCATTTGAACATTCAGCTGTCTAGAGATGGTACCCGCTCCCACCCACATCTCTAGCTTCCAGCCACTCTGGGAAGCATGTGTACTTAAACCTAGATTTAAAGATACAGATGCCAACTTTCCCATCAACACCTGCCATAGACCAAATGGAAGGGTTCTTGTCATCCTTTAAGTTATTTTTTTACTGTATTGTATGAGAAAAGTCATCTTTTATTAATTTCCTGGGATTTTGAATGCTGCAGAATCAACAGTAACACAACCCTGATGATATTTTAAAATGAGTTTGGTCCAAGTGTCTTGAAAAGGTTCTGTTTAATCCTGATGGCATCCCATAACCATTCAATTGTTCTTGAAATTTCAGTACAACTTTCTGACCAGTGGTCTTTAGGGGGTCTAAAGATGGAAAATGAATTAGACATGCACTGATAAGTCAGGTGCTCTTGCTAATTTAATTTTTGTACATTTTGTTCCAGTCTTGTGGCAACATCTACAAAGGCCTTGCTCAGACCGGTGCCTGGGGCTGTTTTGATGAATTTAACAGAATCTCCGTGGAGGTCTTGTCGGTGGTAGCAGTACAGGTA